ACTGTAGCTCCAGGGGATCGGATACCCTTTTCTGACCTCCAGCACTCTTACCTGTGCATATACCCACAGACACAGACTTTCAAATAGAGGAGCTTAGATCCATTAAAAAAGAAACAAAAAACACTATAGGAAGATGGCTTAGTCCAGTGGTTCTTAACACTGTGACCCTTTACTCATGTTGTGGTGACCTCCAGCCATAAAATTATTTCGTCGCTACTTTTTGTTTGTTTGTTTGTTTGTTTTTTGTTTTTTCGAGACAGGGCTTCTCTGTATAGCCCTGGCTGTCCTGGAACTCACTCTGTAGACCAGGCTGGCCTCGAACTCAGAAATCCACCTGCCTCTGCCTCCCAAGTGCTGGGATTAAAGGCGTGCGCCACCACTGCCCGGGTTCATCACTACTTCTTAACTATAACTTTGTTACCGTTATGGATTGTGATGTAAACATCTGATAGGCAGGCTATCTGTGCTGAGACCCCAGGGGTTGTGAACTGCTGGTTTAGTTGGTAAAGCATGCAAGCATGACGACCTGAGCCCAGATCCCCATCACCCACCTAAGATGCCGAGCATAGCTGTGCAGCTGTAACGCAGAGCCCAGAGGACAGTGAGGACACACTGGAGTCCCTGCTGCTCACTGACCAGCTTAGTCAAGCCACCACTGCGAGGGTCGGGGGAGCCCGCCTCAGAAGTCATGTGCAGTCTGCCATGGTGGGACAGTAGGCTTTCATCCCACCACTGGGGAGGCAGAGGCTGGCAGATCTCTGAACTCAAGGCCAGCCTGTTCTACATAATGAGTTCCAGGCCAGCCAAGGCTACATAGTTGAGACCTTGTCTCAAAAGAAAACAACAACCACCATGCTGAGTGACTGAGGAAGACACTTGGTGTTGACCTCTGGCCATTACACACTCGTGTGCATTCACAGGCGCTTATACACTCCCGTGCAAGTTCACTCATATGCCATACCTATGTAGCCCAAAAATAGAGACATCAAAATGAGATGCATGGGTTGAGAAGCAAGCACACTTGGGCTCCCAATGCTCTGAAGCAGAATCAGGAGTTTGAGGCCAGGCTGGAGTACATACACACTGAGACCCTAAAGGGAGATGTGGGAATTAATCTTTTGTAAGATATGTTATATATATTTCACTGTCAATGTCTTTAGACACACCAGAAGAGGGCATCAGATTCCATTATAGATGGTTGTGAGCCACCATGTGATTGCTGGGATTTGAACTCAGGACCTCTGGAGGAGCAGTCAGTGCTCTTAACCACTGAGCCCTCTCTCCAGCCCTAGATGAGTTCATTTGAAGTTCTTTGCTGCTAACTGCTATTGTGATTAACATGCTTATGCTGCCTGTGAGTGGATGTCTTTCCCCCTTCCTGTGAGCTATTTCTGGTGAGTCCAGTGTCATCTGCATGCACCCAGGAGTAGCCCACAGGAGGACCTAGTAAATGGCAAAGGCTTTACAGACACTGCATCTCAGGGTGTGGGAATGTGCATTTTCTGATTATTGGGGCACTTAATGAGGGTGTGGGGTGTGTGGCCCTGCAATCTGGGATCACCGAGTTAATGATTCTCATTAAAACTGTGGATTATAGGTTTGGAGAAATGGCTTTTTGATGAAGGGCATTTGCTGCTCTTTCAGAGGGCCTCAGCTGGTTTCCCAGCGCCACATCAGGTGATTCACAGATACCTGTAACTCCATTGCCCTCATCTGGAGTATGGGCATCTGTACTTCACACTCAAGACACGCACAGACACATACACACACTTTAAAAGTAATAAAAACAAATCTTTAAAACTGTAGATTTGTGGAATTCTTGGCTCCTGTGGGAAAGCCATACACACCCTTATCCTGCTAAACCACCTCCCCAGCAACAATCACTGCACAGAAAGCCACCTTTGAGTTTCTCTTGAATCAGCCTGGCATAGGCCAGAAACAACACAAGTTGTCTGTAATTTTAGAATAAATTAAAGGTCATTATTGAGTGATTTCCTCTTTTAGTGAATGCAAGACAGAAAAGACTGGACAGGTCCCCTTAGCCTTCAAGGCCATGACTATGGGGACCAGTACAGGGTTAGAATTTGTTCTTTGGTTTTGAATTTGGCTTTTTAAATGAGATCTGATGTAGTCTGGGCTGGCCTTGAACTCCTGATCCTCCTACCTTGTTTCCTAACTCCACCTTCTTATATTCAATATATTTTACCCGCGCTTATGTCTATGTACCTCATGCATGCAGTGCCCACAGTGGTCAAAAGAGGGTGTCAGTCATTGGAACAAGATTGACAGTCGGTTGTGATCTGCCATATAGTGCTGGAACTGAACCTGGATCCTATGCAAGATCAGCCAGTGCTCTTAACCGCTGACCCATCCCTCTAGCACCTCGTTTGCCTATTTGTGGATGGGGGGGTCGTTGTTGTTTTGCTTATTCCATTTTTATATGATTTTATTTTTTTGTTTTACAACAGTCTCACGCTGTATAACCCAAATTGGCTTAAAACTCTTCCTGATTCAGCCTCCCAGACTACTGGAATTGTAGGCACGAGATGTCACACCTGCTTGCCTATTTGTTTTAAAGCCGAGGTGACTAAGGCTCCAGGTGTCCCACCGAGAAACTTCTCCATCCCCACCACAACTGGAAGCCTGGATCTCGGACCTCTCTCCTATACTTTTCTTTCTGCCCCTTCCTCAAGTCCCTGGCGCAGTGGCCCTTTAAATCTTTAGCGTCAATCAGGGCTCTGGTTTCAAGGGAACATTGGGTAATACTCCTCTCCCTGAGTGTGTCTGCCTGTGTCGCGACCGTGGGACCGGGTCTCCCGTTCGGCAGTGTTGGGCTATGGGAATTTGTCCTACTCCCTTACATCCGAGTGTTTCCATCCCGCCCACCTCCTCCCGTCACCTCCCGCCTACTCGGCCTGTCTTGCTAGTCCTGGCCCGTTTGCCAGGGCCTTCCTTATTTGGGCACGGCTTTGAACCCCGGCCTCTCATTGGTCTGGGCCGTCACGCGTGCGCGCCTGTCAACAAAGGGGCGGGTCGGAGCGCGCAGCGTGCCAGCCCGCGCGAGGGGGCGGGCCCACAAGGCTAGAGTGCACATGCTTGTGGGTCACCATTCTCCCTGCCGCCTGGAGGAGGCGCTGCGGGTGAGGGCGCCTGGGGGGCGTGTCTGGGTTTTTGGCGGGGGTCACCAGAGGGGCTCCAAAGGAGGCGGGTCCAGGATTTGTGGGATTCGTTTGCTTCTAAGCGATATTTGAGCTCTTGGGGGAAGTTGTGGGGGTGGAGGGGATACTTTAGGGTTCCCCGAGGCTTAAGAAACGTGTTAGGTTCAGGGTATTTTGTAGTGTAGAAGGCTAAGTTGCATTTTAGAAGTGTCCTTTGTGGCTGGGGGTGTATGGTGGGCACAAGATGAGAGTATTTCGGGACCAGAATGCTTGAGCTTGAATACTTCCTACCTTTGTCACCAAGGACAGGAGGACACTTTCCTTCCTGTGGCCCATCTGCAAACAGCTGCGGGATTCGGGACACATGTCTGCTTTTGTACCTCTCGAGGTTCCATTGGGGACTGTTGACATTTATTTGGTTTGGGATTTGTTTTAAATGGGGTGTTTTTATGTCTGGGTTCTTTGAAGGTTCCTGAGCTGGGGAATGAAGGAGTAGAGTCAGGACCCATGTCTGGAATGATCTGAGGATGTTAGGAGACCCACTGGGTCACTTGTGAGATTCGGGTATTGCAGTGTATTTTCAGATATATGAAAAGTTATTCATGGTTGGACTTTTCTGTGCTGGACAACATACTGGTTTATTATTTTTTTAAAATTTTAATGGATATGGTTGTTTGCCTGCCTCACATTTGTACCAGGTGCTGTTGGAGACCGGATCCTCTCTGTGGGTGCTGGGAGCCAGGCTTGGATCCTCTGTAAAAGCAGCAAGTGCTTTTAACTGCTGAGCCATCTCTTCAGCCCTCCCTCTATTCTTACTTAGGAGACAAGTTCTCTTGGTAGCACTAGTTGGCATAGGACTAGATATGTAGACCAGGCTGGCCTTGAGCTCACAGAGATCCACCAGCTTCTACCTCCCAAGTGCTGGGATTAAAGGCGTACACCACCACTGCCCGGCGAGAGTGAATTTCTTAAGGGCCTGTCTGGTTCTGGCTTCATATTTCCCTCCCCTGCCCAATCACTTCATCCCTCAGTGTGCTCCGGCAGCCATGACTGGGGAGAAGGCTGGGACCTGGCTGCTGGAGGACACATGAAAGGAGGAGGAGCCTGGTCAGGCTGGTACTTCTCTTAAAGGTCAGGCCAGGCGTGGTACTATGCTCCTTTAATCCTGGTACTTGGGAGACAGAAGCAGATGGGTCTCTGAGTTAAAGGCCTGCCAGGTCTATGTAATGAGTTTTAGGACAGCCAGGGCTACACACAGAGACACCCTGTCTCAAAAAAAAAAAAGAAAGGAAGGAAGGAAAGAAAGAAAGTTAAAGAAGGACAGGAAATTTGGCGGCCACCCTCTGCTCACCTGATGTGGGGCTGGAAAATAGAGTTTTGTTCTCTTGGCCATGCTTAGGGACACAATCCAGCCTACTAGGTAGGCTACCACTGAGCCACAGCCCGAGCCCTCACTAGGTAAAGTCAGGCGAGTACTGTTGTTATATCACAGAACCATGCTCCCAGCCCTTTACTGGGGGGTTCTAGGCAGTGGCTCTTACCAATGAGCCACACTCCTAGACAAAGACTTTCAAAGCGTGTGTGTGTGTGTGTGTGTGTGTGTGTGTGTGTGTGTGTGTCTTCATGTGAGCATGTGCATATGTTAGGGATATAGCCCAGGATGACCTTCTGATCTTCTTCCTCCTTCCATGTGCTGGGGTTTGGCTTGCACCCCTCCACTGTCTGAGGCACACGGTTCTCAGTACCTTAATTTGGCCGGTCCCCTGTGCAGAGGTTGAGTGTGGGTGGTCTTGGGAAGAAAGGCCATGAGCTACTCACTGTTGCAGCCTTCTGTATCTGCAGGTGGCCTGGAGAGCTCCCCACTACCATCCTGGCCCTGAGACTGAGTGAGTACCTGCTGCTGCTTGTCATCGCCACCCAGCATGGACAGGGGCAGCCTCCTGCCCTTCCAACTCTGGTGCCCCCGGCCCTTCAGCAAGTATTCCCAGAACCAGCCGCGCCCACCTTCCGCAGCCCTCAAACCTCCCGTCTGCCCTGACACAAGCAGCGGGACTGAGCCCGACCATAGGCCTGCACACTTGGAGAACACACCACCTGCCTTGGCTGCAGAAGCCCCCACCTCCCAGCATGCTCCACTCCTCTCTGCAGCCGCTTCCGGTGATGAGGGTCGAGTCCTGCTGGACACGTGGTATGTTATCAAGCCTGGAAATACAAAGGAGAAGGTGGCCTTCTTTGTGGCCCACCAGTGTGGTGGAGGTAGCCGGGCTAGCTCTATGAAGGTTAAAGGGCACTGGGGCAGTGACAGCTCCAAAGCTAAGAGGAGGCGGCGCTGCCTGGAGCCCACCAAGGCTCCTCCAGACCAAGGGGGCCAAGAAGGAACCCCTGCCACTGAGGTGGCCCCCACTTCATCCGGGGATGATGTAGACCTGCTTTCTGTAGCAGAAATGGTGGCCCTGGTTGAACAGAGAGCTGCCCTGGCCTTGCAGAGTTACCCACGCCCCAGTACCCCAGCTCCTGTGGTCTTTGTGTCAGCTGAGCAGGGGGGACCAGCCAAGGGGCTAGGGTCAGAAAGGCGGTCTGGTGGTGGTGACTGCAGCCGAGTTGCTGAGGCAGTGGCCCACTTTGAGGCCCAACGGGACAGCCCCCCGACCAAGGGTCTCCGCAAGGAGGAGCGGCCAGGCCCTGGACCAGGCGAGGTGCGTATAGCTTTCCGCATCTCCAATGTCCGAGAGCCTCATTCACCAGATGGCAGCTTACCCAATGGGGGTGGAGGTCGGCCTGGTTGTCCCTACCCTGGTAGTCCTGGACCTGGGACTCGAGCCAAAGACAAAATCACCTGCGACTTGTACCAGCTTATCAGCCCCTCCAGGGATGCCCTTCCCAGCAACGTGGAGTTCCTACTGGCCAGGGCTGATGAAGCCAGTGAGGGTGAGACACCAGCCCCAGCCAGGCCTGAGGACACCCCACCAGCACCCCCTCCACCCCCTGCCCGGGACTGCGGTGCATCAGGATTCCATGTGGATGTAGTGGTGACTGGGGTCGTGGATGCATGCATCTTCTTTGGCAAAGACGGCACCAAGAACGTCAAGGAAGAGACTGTGTGCCTGACAGTGAGCCCTGAGGAGCCACCCCCACCTGGCCAGCTCTTCTTCCTCCAGTCCCGAGGTCCAGAAGGGCCTCCTGAGCCACCCCCAGCGGATACACCAAGCACAGTGCCAGGCCCCGATGATTCTGAGGGCACAACGGACACCTCCCTGTGCCGCCTGTACCGGCACGTGTCGCACGACTTCCTGGAGATTCGCTTTAAAATCCAGCGTCTTCTGGAGCCTCGGCAGTACATGCTGCTGCTGCCTGAGCACGTGCTTGTCAAGATCTTCAGCTTCCTGCCCACACGGGCCCTGGCGGCCCTCAAGTGCACCTGCCACCACTTCAAGGGCATCATCGAGGCTTTCGGTGTACGAGCCACGGACTCTCGCTGGAGCCGGGACCCACTCTACCGAGATGACCCTTGCAAGCAGTGCCGCAAGAGATATGAGAAGGGTGACGTGTCACTCTGCCGCTGGCACCCCAAACCCTACCACCACGACCTGCCTTATGGACGTTCCTACTGGATGTGCTGCCGCAGGGCCGACCGCGAGACACCAGGCTGTCGCCTGGGCTTGCATGACAACAACTGGGTACTGCCCTGCAATGGAGTGGGTGGAGGCCGTGCTGGCCGGGAAGAGGGGAGGTGAAGCCTGGGGTGAGGGCACACCTGCGATACCTAGCCCCTCCCCACATTGCTGGGAGCTGGGGACCAGGACTGAGTCACCAGCCAACACCTAATCGTTCATGCAGCGTTCTTCTCCCACCAGAGCTGGGAGCAGTTTGGGGGTCAACGGGGTAAATACCTTGCTTGACCTCTGTTGGTTTTCTATTCTTCAGAGCCAGGGCCATGGACCCTCAGAGAGGGTTGTGGCTTTTTGCTTTTTTTTTTTTTTTTCTTCAAATCAGCATCTCAGTTTCACCTCCATCCATCCCTGACAGCACCCTCAAGTCTCTCCACCCCAGGGACCCACCAGCAGGGAGCAGACGGCAGCTAATTTTGGTACTACCTGAGGCTTTCCTCAAGCTGGCCCTCCGTTCTGTGCCTCCCCAAGTTGTCTTTGGAGCTGCATTTACCAGGGCGCTGCATGCTCATGCAGGCCTTCCACGTGGGGTTCTCTGAGGCATCGGGGTCTCTCCACCCACCCCCACCCCCAAGTTTCTTCAGAATCTCCTGGTTACCTGGGACCTTGATTTTGAGGCAGTTTGGTCCAAAATATTTTTGTTTGGGGTTTTTCCTCGTTTTGGGGGAGGGGTTGTTTTTTCCTTCATTGTGGTTCCAGAAGCTTCTAGTGTGTGGCATCTGACCAATTTTGAATTGGTCCTTTCTATAAAATCAATATTTATAAAGCTGGGCCCAGACTGGTCTATGTGGTGTTAAGAGGGGGTTTGGTAACAGAAGAGCCTCATAGGTCTGCTCGGCAGGGAGGAACAGACAGACAAGGGACACATCCCTAGCTACGTTCCGAAGCCTGAAGAGAGTATTTTTTAAATGCTTGAACAGAATCCTTTTATTTCTCTCACAAACCCATCTCCGGAGGCACTCACTGCTGTGGCCTGTGACTGCAGGAATTCCTGCTGTCCCTATGGTAGAGAAAGGTAAGCCACTCTGTGGCAGAGGTGCAACACACACTGTGACTACCTCTCATCGTCAGAACTCAGATCTGCGATGCCATGGTCAACTTATGGGGAGGGGGAGGGTCGTGAAGTTTGGATTTCAGACCTTCATGCTTGCAAGCAGCCACTCCACTGGCCGAGCATCTCTGCAGCCTCCCATTGTTATATCCATTAGATATGCTGGGGGCGGGTTAAAACATAAACTTCCTGCCGGGCGGTGGTGGCACATGACTTTAATCCCAGCACTTGGGGAGGCGGAGGCAGGCAGATCTCAGATATGTTTTGCATGTATGTGTGACATATGAGTAGCACAAGTGCACATGTGGGATTGCACACGTGTGCAGGTCTCTTTCCACAGTAGATTCCAGAATCAAACAGATCATCAGACTTATGCAACAAGCATTCCTGTCTACTGAAACCTTTTCACAGACCCAAGATTCATTTCCTATCACCTATACACATAATCAGATGCGGTGTGTGTATATGTCCCTGAGAATAGAACCCAGGGCCACACATGCTAGGCAAATGCTCTACCACTGAGCCACACCCCCAGCCCCTGACTGGGGGATTCTAGGCAGGGGCTCTACCGCTGAGCCACGCCCCCAGCCCCTCACTGGGGGATTCTAGGCAGGGGCTCTACCGCTGAGCCACGCCCCCAGCCCCTCACTGGGGGATTCTAGGCAGGGGCTCCACCACTGAGCCACGCCCCCAGCCCCCTCACTGGGGGATTCTAGGCACTGAGCTACATTTTCAGCCCACTTTGAGTTAAGGCCTCACTAAATTGCCAAGCAGGTTTGGAATTCATTCTAGCCCAGGCAGGCCTTGAACTTACGTGCAAAGATGAACAGACCTGTGTCACTCTTCTGTCCTGACTATGGTACAGGTTCCATGAACTCTGCTGAAGCTGACTAGGAAACCAGTCGACGCCCTCATCTTAGCACTTCATCCTACTTGAAGGTTGGTTTTGCACATACTAAGTCCGAGATGACTGAGCTGGTTCATCCTGGTTCCCACCACCTGTGGTTTTCCTGGAGTGTGTTTTCTAAGCAACTGTGCATTCACCAGACTGGCCTTAAGAATAAGGTGGTCTAGTTGATGAAGCAGTTCCCACAAGTCTTCCCTGCTCCTCCTGTCGGTACTGCAGTAGGTTTGGGGTAGATCTTGGGAGTCTGTTTTATTTCACGTTATCTTTTTATTTTTGGTTGGTTGGAGGGGATTTGTTTGTTTGTTTGTTTTAGTTTTTCGAGACAGGGTTTCTCTGTGTAGCCCTGGCTGTCCTGGAACTCACTCTGTAGACCAGGCTGGCCTCGAACTCAGAAATCTGCCTGCCTCTGCCTTCCAAGTGCTGGGATTAAAGGTGTGCACTGCCACCACCCGGCTGGAGGGGTATTTTTGGTCTTTGGGTTTTGTTTTGGCTTTTTGAGAAAGGGTTTCTGTGTGGCCCTGGCTGAACAGTAGACCAGGCTAGCCTCAAACTCAGAGATCCACCTGCCTCTACCTTCTGAAAGTTGAGATTAAAAGTATTCACTATCACCACCCAGCTAGGGAGCCTGTTTTTGTTGTTTTGTTTTGTTTTGAATGGGCTTGAGAAACAACCTCTGGCTAGCTATGGCAAGGTATAAACCCGTTATTCCAGCACTCAGGACTGAGTAGGAGGATTCTGAGTTTGTGGCTAACCTGGATAGCCACTCCAGAGAAGTCAGGGCTATATACACCTTGGCTCAGTGGCTAAGAGCACTGGCTACTCTTCCAAAGGATCCAGGTTCAGTTCCTACTACCTATATGGCAGTACACACCTGGCTGTAACTCCAGTTCTAGAGGATCTAACACTCACACAGACATACACGCAGGCAAAATATGATTGCACATGAAATAAAAATAAATATTATAAAAAATGAAAGCAGTAGGGCTTGGGGGGTGGCTTTTCCTTTCTATCCAAGTGGAGGTAGAACTATATCTCTTGTGTTCAAGGTGTACAGAGAAAGCTCCTGGCCAGCCAGCCAGTGGTAACATGCCTTTAATCCCAGCACTCTGTAGGCAGAGGAAGGTGAATTTCTTAAGTTTGAGGCCAGCCTGGACTACGGATCGAGTTTCAGAACAGGCAGGGCTACACAGAGAAACCTGGTCTCAAAAAGGAGAAGAAGAAGAAGAAGAAGAAGAAGAAGAAGAAGAAGAAGAAGAAGAAGAAGAAGAAGAAGAAGAAGAAGAAGAAGAAGAGGAGGAAGAAAACTTTGCACTAGAGTTGTACACACAACAAAAGGAAACGGTAGTTTCAGGTTGACTCCGTCCAGGTGGATCTCAGTGTACTCAGGCCATTCCCACTCTCAAACCTGCCAAAGCCAGTATTTCCCAAAGGATCCTCGGCAGGGAGGCAGCCTCACTTGAAATACTTTCCTGTAAAGAGGTCCCACTTTGAGAACCATTTCATTCTCTTACTCTGGAAGATCTCACCTTTCGAAGTGAGGAAGCTCACTTAATGTCACTTCTCATGGGAGCTGTGGCCTTCAGTTCCCCGTAACGCTCACGGTTGGCACCCCTGAGCCAAGCAGACCACAGAACAGGGAGCTAGGGTTCGTATCTGTCCCCAGTCAGGAGCCCATCCCCATTTGGAGTCAGAGCTGGGTCCGTGCAGTAGCAAATGAACTGACATAAAACATCAGCCACAGAGGATTCATTTGGTCGGTGGTGCTGGTCCAAGTGTAGCCTGTGACATGTCTTTTGGTCACTGGAAACTTCCAGTTATTTACTCAGGACAGAGGCCAAAGGATTCCTATTTCCTTTGGCTCTCTCATGCCCTCAGTTCCTTGCATGTCCTTGAAACACGGTGGCTCAATGTGCTTGAAGCAAACCTCAGGTGCCCCTGGCCAGTGCCCAGATCCCTTCAAGGTATCAGGCTGCAGGCTAGAGTCCCAGGTACTCGGCCAGGAACACAGCGAGGATGCGGCTCAGGTTGTGCACGGTGGGCGGGTGGAGGTTGGCCTCAGTGTCAGCAGGTGTGTGCCACACAGCAGGGAAGGGTGTCGCAATGAGGTGGAGCACGGGGACCCCTGAGGGGACAGGCGAGTCATCCACCAGTTGCAAGCCACAGACAGGCAAGATACTCTGCTAGTGCTTACTGACATCTCAACCCAAAACCTTGGGCATGCTAAGCAAATGTGCTACCTCAGAGTTGCATCCCCAAGCCCAGAAGAAAGATTGTAAATATGAGAAGTTACATGCTGTTTAAGAAAAGTTAGGCAGCAGGCTACCACCGAACTTGTTGACCTGAGTTCAATCTGTGGCACACTGTGGAAGGAAGAAGATAGCAGGTTCCCACAAGCTGACCTCTGACCTTTGACCTTCAGCTATTTGTTTAGAAACAGGGTCTCACTATATAGTAAGTTGTCCGGGCTGATCTCATTTTCCTTTCAGGTTTTGGGGTAGTTTTTTTTTTTTTTTGTTTGCCATGGGGTAGGATAGTGTTGGTTGAGTAGTGCTAAGATAATTTAGTCAGGGGCTCTACCACTGAACTATACTCTCAGCTGTTGGTGCTAAAATTTATGGGCTCAAATAATTCTCCTGCTCAGACTATAGTCCTGTCCACTACTGCTGTCTTTTACTCCCATTTTATAGCTTTGGAAATCGAAGCAGAGAAACAGACATACTGATTTGCCTGAGTTCTAGCCCTAGTAAACAATACAGTCAAGATTTGAACCAAAGTCACCAGACAGGAGCTTGTGTTCTGTGTTTGTTCTGCTCTGAATGCTTCCCTGTGTGTCCACAGAGGCAGCTGGTCTGGAGAGCAGCTCTGACGCCTCACCCACCTGTAGAGGTGCTCACTGAAGGTAGCAGTGAGGAAAAGGAACAGCGCCCGCCTGGCATGCAAGAGGTGGCACTGTGCGCTTTCCATACACTGGGCTCAGCTCTGAGTCAAATGTTGACCCATATGTGCACATTTGACACCATCCATACTACCCATTTTACAGATGAAGAGATCGGGGCTGAGCCACTTGCTAGCAGTCCCTAGCCCTGGGAAGGAGGCTTCCTTGTACTCCCAGCCCCAGAGAGTACCTCTGCGAAGGAAGGGGATGTGGTCATCTTCCACAGGGCCAGGGGGCTCCCCGGGTTGAAAGTACATCACTTCCTGGGGGTGAGACTGTAGTAAGTTCAGACGGTGAAGGCGCTTCTCTGGCGAGGAGTGGGATTAGAGAGTAAGGTTAGTCAGCAGTCAGATACACGCCCCCCAATACATGCATGTGTATGTGCTCCGTGTGCATACCGTGCACGAGGAGGCCCCTACAACTGGAGTTACACGTCGGTGCTGGGATTCGAACCCAGATCCTCTGAAAGGGCAGCCAGTGCTCTTAACTACTGAGACAACTCCCCAGTGCCATGTGTTTCTTTTAACTGCAAGTTGCCTCTTCCTAGTCCCGTTTACCCCTCTGTGTAGGAAGTCGATGCCTCTATTTCTTCCTCCTATTCGTCCTTGTGTGGTCGGGGGAGTGGAGTCAGTTTCCTCCTCCCAGCTTTACAAGGGTTCTGGGGAACTGATGGGCTGCCAGGGTTTTTGAGGTAAGCACCTTTACCCACTGAACCGTCGCTGACCCCAATGTCCCTATTCTATTTATCTAAACATTTTTAGAGACTGGATCTCAGGTAGCTGCAGGCCTGCCTCATACTCTATGTGGCTGAGGCTAGCCATGTACCCTCCTTAATCCTCCTGCCCTCCAGCGGCCTCCCTCGTGCTGTGTTACAGGCAGGCACCACCAGTGTCAGCTGTTATTTACCTTGAAATAAGATCTTGCTTCACAGCCCAGACTTGCCTAGAATTTGCAGTCCTCTTGCCTCAGCTTCCCAGGTTCTGGGATATAGGTAAACACCACCAGGCTGCTTATTCTAGCCTGAAACTCACGGTGTAGCCCAGGATAGCCTTCAACCTGCAATCCCTGAGTCTCAGCTTCCTGAGTGTTGGGATACAGGCATGCACACCATAATGGCCATTTCACAGCAATGCCCCCCTTAGCATCGTCACCATGCTTACTTTCCATAGAAGACATAGAAGTTTGAGAGACAAGTGTCTTGCCCAGGCTGACCTAGGGTTTGAAACCAGGCCAGTCTCACATAAGAATTCTACTGTTGCCCAGCAGTGGTGGCGCACGCCTTTAATCCCAGCATTTAGAAGGCAGAGGCAGGTGTATCTGAGTTTAAGGCCAGCCTGGTCTACAGAGTCAGTTCCAGGACAGCCCGGGATACCTACAAACACACACACACATATCTGTCTCAACAAACAACAACAAAAAAAACTAAACAAAAGGATTCTACTATCAGAATCACTACACTCGACCTTCAGAGGGTAAGCTTGTTTCTGCCCTAGTTTCTTAGCCCAGGGATGGGAAGGACGACTAGAAGAGCACACAGGGGTCAGGTGTCTGTCCTATCCCGGCCTTGGCCTACCCTCCTTACCGATGCTCCTCAGTCGTTGGAACCAGCGGGCTGTGCGGGGGAAGTGACTGAAGAAGATTGGGCTGGATGCTCCCAGAAGGTCAAGAAGGACAAAGAGCTCCTGGGGGAAGAGTTCAGGGCTGGAGGCTGCTGAGTCCAGAGCTACTGACCCACCCCTCCTCCCCTCACTCCCTGCCTCCTGCTCCAGAGCCCAGAGACTGGATCTTACAATAGCCTGGATCCTGGTAAGGCCGGGGCTGTGCGGTGTGGACTCCATGATCTGAGCTAGGTGCCGGGAGCCATAGAGGGAGTCCTTTGGTCCCCACTCCTTCAGTGCCTCCTCCCCATCCAAGAAGAGCAGCTGCAGGGTCACCGGTGCTGCCTATGGGAGCAAGCCACCAAATCAGCACCAACCCGTGGCATCGGCCCAGCCACTCACCCTGCCTATTTATTTGCACAGCTGGGGCAGGACAAACCAAGCATCCTTATGTGGTGATAGAAGTCACAGGTTGAGCCAGAGGCCTAGGTTTAAATCCACACTGTAGGTGGTTGTTAGATAAAGTAACTTACTTTTTGTTGTTTTTATGTTTTAAGAGCCTAGGATAGCCCAAGCTGGCCTGCACCTTCCATCTCTCTACCTGGGACTATAGGTGTGCAGCACAGTGTCCAGTGTCATTTTGTTTGTTTGTGTTTTTCCTTTCTTGTGCTGCTGGAGAATGCCCTAGGGATGCCCATATGCTAGACATGCAGGGTTTCATTCAATTGCCCAGGCTACCCTTGAGCTCACTCTGTAGCCCAGGCTGGCCTTGAACTTCTCTGTTCCTCAGGCCTCCATGTCTGGAGGAGCTGGGATTACAGGCCTGAGCCACGAGGGTTGGCTCAATTTCTTCTTCTATGAATGGGGTTAACAACAGTTCTGTTCACAGGAGCACATTTGAATCCAGGTCTGTAAGAACTGAAAATGAGTCAGCTCCGGTTATAATTACTTAAGTTTAGCTGGGCAAGACAGACAGACAGACAGACAGACAGACCGACCCACAAGGAAATAACTGCACAAACAACAAAACACAATTAAGACAAATGCTTCCAAGATCACCAGCTTCTGAGGTACAGGAGGCTGCAGGCTGATCTGGCCGTCAGAGGCCACTGGTTCACTGGACAGGGATGTTGCACTGAGAGTGAGTTGACTTGACTTAGCAAAGAGTAAACAGTATTCCCAGGCAAGGGGATGGCCTGGACCAGAGCTGCAGCCCGAGGGCTGTGAGCGGAAGGCAGGGGGTTAGGACGACCCACAGTTTTCAGCTTTGTTTTGTAACAGAAGCACTGAGAAGCCAGAGAAGGGGTCTGAGGAAGAGAGAGGCTTGGTGAAATGTGCGCTTGCATTCACTCCGCTGACTTCTACTAATGCCAGCACTCAGGAGACTGAGGCAAGGGAGTCACAAGTTCACATTCACGCTTGAGTTTGATGTTAGCACGGCCTATCTGAGATGCAGCCGGGACTTGAAGAAAGCAAGGATGACAGAAGGTCTGTCAGCTCAGACCTGCCGTGTCACAGCTTGGAAAGGTGGTGCAGAATGGCTGACTTCAAGGCTAGCTTGGGCTACATACTACTGAAACCCGCTATCAGAAACAGAAAGCATAGCAGATAGAAGGATGCGGGACAGGGACAGACAGCCCTCCCTGCTCCTCACCTGCTGCTTGACCCTGCTTAGCATGACATCAAGGGCCTGGACCAACTCCAGAAGCAGGGCGCAGGGCACGGCTGAATCTGTGGCCCCCACAAAGGGGGGCAACCCAGGAGGGAAGAACTTAGAGTCATAATGGCAGGCGAGGGTGAGGTGTCGGGCAGCTCCTGGGTCAAGTGTGGCCACCACGTTCCCGAAGTCCAGTGGCCCCAAGGGGGTTGAGGCTGTGAATGGGTCCAGTTCCACGTGCCAGCCTGCCGACAGGGACTGCAGCGTGGTCTCCAGGAACTAGTGGCAAGAGAGAGGTAGGAGGGTGGACAGGGACTGGGGGGGAGGTGGGGAGAAGGGCCTCGTGACTGGAGCCACGCAGAGCAGTCTGGGTGACTAGAAAGTCCCTCTTTGGTTTAGGCTGTTCCCTTGACATAGACTTCTGCTGAGAAGCAGCTGGGTGCCATGTGTACGAGAACCATACCTCTTCATGGTAACAAAACTTGTCATGGCTTACTCTGAGACAGATTCTCACTATGTAGTCCAGGCTAGCTTCCAACTTGCTGTATAGCCTAGACTGGCCTAGAACTCCAGATCGTGCTTCTGCTTCGGGATTATAGACCCAGACCACTACCACACCCAAATGAGTGTTCTCGCCCCCCTCTTCCTCCCTCTCTCTCTCTCTCCCTCTCTCCCTCTCTCTTGCGCACACACACACACACACACACACACACCTCTCCCTCTCTCTCCCTCTCTCCCCTCATGTTAATTCTTCCAAAATCACATGTAGGCCAGCTTTCAACTAACTCACTTCCTTTTCCTCTTCCTGTCTCTCTCCATGGTGCTGAGGCCCAATCCCAGGATTTCCTGCACGATGCTTACACAGCCACAGTCCCGCACTGGAGAATACTAGACAAGCCTTCTACCATTGAGCCACACCCCCATCCTCACATTGGTTAATTCTAAGCAAGTGGAGTCAGGCTCTGAGTTTCTCTTAAAAAGTTCTCACTATGTGCCAAGCCTGTTTTAGGATCCCTATGAAATCAACAATGTCAGTGAATGTCCCTATTTTCAAGATGAGGAAACTGAGTCCCAACGAAGTTAAGAAGTTAGTCCAACTAAGGTGGATCATAAACACATGAGCTGAATGGCAACAAAGTCATGCTACACCACAAATTCTGAAGCCAACCTTCTTGGATTTTACTTTTAACTAGCTGTGGGATTTGGACAAAATGTTGTAATTGCAGTTTCTTCATCTGTATAGTGGAGATCATATTAGTTCCGACCTCACCAGAGACTGTATTGCTTCTGCCTAATACAGGGTAAACTTTTGGTGGGGTTCATATAGTCTGGTATCTGTGCACCACCAAGAGAATCTAGTCTGGTTCACCCACCACCACCACTCCCCTAACCCTCTACTCCCCGTCTCCTGGCCCCCTACCACCATCAGATCCCTAGTCTGCCTCCTGGCTGTTTTGGCATCTTTGGTGCCCGAGTTTCAGACTGAGGAAAGGAAGTTAGGGGTTGAAAAAATAAAACCCTTTACCTTTCTCACTTGGAGATTGCCAGGACTACCCGGGGGTCGCACAATCAACAAGGGACGCAGGAAAGTCCCCCACAGACGCTGCGGATCCAGCTGCCCTACCACCAGCCGCAGTTTGGCTTCTGAAAGGCTTCCGATTAGCGGGACCTTGGTTGGGAAATGGGATGGGGAAAAAGAAAAATGAAAACAACCCCATTCCCACCCTATCCTGGGCGCCGTTGCCCACTAGGAGTCCTGGCTCTTCTTGGTAATGCACAGTCGCCAGCATCAAAGATTTTCTAGACTGGGAGAAATCTTCAAAGCAAATCTGGTCCAACCTATTGCAGTCCTGACGAGAAAATTGCAAACGGTCGATGGAGACTTGTAAATAGATGACTTGGGAATAGAACTCAGATCTACCAGTGTTGCTATGCGGACTCTTCATCTTCAGGGGGGTTATCACAAAACAAGTCTGAAGCCTTATTTTATTGGGTAGGGGCACGTACTCAAGAAATGGCACATGCGGCAAGGGTCAAACGATAAGACCACGTTAACCTGAGACTCAGTACGAAGGGAAAGAGGGAAATAACGCTGGCTGGGCCCCAGCAAGGGCTCACCCGCAGATCCCGGCTCCGTGACACCTCCTCGACCCCAGGGTGCCAGCTATTCCAGACGATATAGATAGCCAAGCCCAGGGCCAGCGCCAGCAGCAGGAGGGGCAGGAGCTGCACTCGCGGTAGAAGACGGCGCTTGGAAAGTGAGGGTGGTTTCATGAGGCCGCGATCCCCGAGCCGCTGCCGAGGCCGCCCGCGGCTCCCGGGACTCATGGCAGCTCTGCCCTGAAACCAATCCCGGTACGGCGGTTTGAGTTTAGGCCAAGATCCGCCTCTCTGAGGTTACAAACCCCAATAAGGAAGCAGAGCTTCTGCGTCCTCCCCCCAGACGATTGCGATTGGCTCGCCTAAGCGCCGCACCACCCAAAAGGGAGCGCGGAAACCTGAGGGCCCGCCCCCACGGAAGAGGAACGGTCAATGAGCTGCCTCCGAATGTGCGAAACCTTCCCCGGCGCGGGGCCACGCCCCTCACGGAAGTCGATCGAGAAACTGTCGTTCAAGGAAAAAGGGGCGGTATCCATCCCTAAAAGAAGAAGCCGATTGGTTTGCCTGAAGCCATGCCCTCAAGAAAAGTGTCGGCGGGTATTTGGAAACGAGGTCGTGTTGTCCTTCTTCCAGCCAGACGATTAGACGGGAAAATAATTTTAGTCAGATCCTGTTTATTTTCCTCACGAGCAGACACCCTATTGTGATCCTCAGAGACTTCAAATCCTCTCTAGGCATTTTCTACAGGACAGCGCGGCCTGAGAGGTCGCTATGGTAACAGCGCACGCCCACAGCCGCTGGTGCTTGGTTGCGCAGGCGCCGACGGAAGTGAGCTGCAGGAGTCGGAAGTCCCGCCCTTCTCTCGCTGTACTCCAGAAGCTAGAGCAACGCGCTCGGAGGCGGGAGTGATCAGCGAGCGAAACCTTCACCATGTGAGGCCGGGCTGGGCTTCGGCGGGGACACGGAGATGGAGGGGGACAGTTTAGCTGAATAACGGTCGAAATGGGGTGCTCATAGCTGAGGGTAGAGTTCCTCGGGCAAAAGTAAGGTCTTTTCTTCTGGGGTATTTGGGAACGAGCTTGGGGCCTTGGGTTTTGAGTTCCGGAGAGGGGATAGCTTTATTCCATAACGGGCGTAAGACTCTGCTAGGTACTGAGTCTTGGGGAAATGAACCGTAAAGGGAAAGCTGAGTCTGATGGCACATGCCAAGAATCCCAGGCCTCGAGAGGCTGAGGCAGGAGTATCGCTAGTTTGTGGCCAGTCTTGGCCAGCTCCATAGCGAGACCGCTTACAAAAGTGATAGTGATTTTAAATGGGAGTGGTCTTACGGATAGATTGCTTGGCGGGGAAGGGGACTTAGCCAGGATACATCAGAGCTTTTGGACCTAACTAGAGACTATCTGAGTAGCAGGCTACTACAGTGGTTTGGCTTGTAAAAAGAATGGAGTAGGAAAGCCATAGAGTAATAAACAAGCACATATACTATGTCTTAGATGATGGGGGGTGTGAATGGAGAATTGAGTAGAAAAGAAAGCCAGTAGGTAGCACAGAAGGACGCATTGAAAGCCCAGTACTTGGGCTCAGTGGACAGAGAGTACTTACCTACCGTGGGTACTGGGTTTGATCCTCAAGTACACACAGACTAGACACAGTAGCACATGCCTGAAACCCTAATACTCTGGAAGCAGAGACAGACTAGTCTCTGAGTTCCAGGGCAGACAGGCTTACACGGCGAGACATTTTTGTGGGGTGGGGTGGGGGATCAAGGGGAGATGTGATTGAAGTTTAGGTCATGGATAGAAATGGCCAAGTTTTGGAGATATCATGGAGGCAGATGACAAGATATGAGGAGAGAGTAAAGTTTGAAAGGAGAATCAAGTGCCAGGCATGATGGTGAGCCCCTGTAATCTCAGGCCTTGGTCGGTGGAGTCAGGGGAATTGAGGATTCGAGGTCAGCAGTGGGTGGATGAGGTTTGGTGGAGGAGCTGGAGCTCAAATGGAAATGTCTCTCCTGCCTCCAGAAAAGACTGTACCAGGAAGGGTGCTGGGGGCCAGGCTGGGGAGACACTGGACAGTGTGGCTTTGGTTACTTAAACTTCCAACCTGAACCCATCTCACCCCTGGGCTCTCTGTCCAGGAGTCTCCTCAATAAACCCAAGAGTGAGATGACCCCAGAGGAGCTGCAGAAGCGGGAGGAGGAGGAATTCAACACAGGTCCCCTCTCAGTGCTCACGCAGTCAGTCAAGAACAACACGCAAGTGCTCATTAACTGTCGCAACAACAAGAAGCTCCTGGGCCGGGTGAAGGCCTTTGACAGGTGAGCGCTGTCCGGGGGAGGGCTGGGTCTGAGGGGCCTGAAGGAAAGGCCATTCCAGAAGAATCGTGGTAAGATGACATGGTGACAAAGCCTGTAATCACGGCACTCTGGGAGATCACCATGAGTTGGAGGCCAGGGTCATATGGCAAGACCCAGCTCAAAAAATTAGAAAGTGGGGGTGCTTAGCCCTTCTTCTTCTCCTCCTCCTCTTCTTCCTCCTCCTCCTTCTTCTTCTAAATCTTCTGTATTTGGGTGTTTTGTCTGCATGTGAGTCTGTGGACATGTCTAGCACCTTCAGAAGTCATCAGACCCCCTGGCAGGAGGAAGGACTGGAATTATATTTGATTTGTTCATCTCTAGGCCAGCCATCAGTGTCAAATATCTTCTATTGCTTTCTAGTTTGTTTGGAGGCGGGGTCTTAACTATGCAGCTTAGGCTGGCTACAGATGTAGCTGGGGCTAACCTTATACTTCTGATCCTCCTGTTCCCATCTCCCAAGCTAGAATTACAGACCTGAAACATACCCTCCTGTCTTCTTGTTTTAGTTAGCATACGCATCTGGCATTGCACTTTGCTCATATTCACTGTCCTCAAGCAAGCATTTGTGGAATGAACTGAGCCAAATGTAAACACGTGACCACCCGGCCCCTTGAGGACAGGAGTGCATGTGTTAGGAGCCATGTCCAACCCAGCACCCTGAGACCCTCTGGTTTGGAGGGAGCAAGTGCGTCTCTCTTGCTGCTTCTCTTAGAGTTAATGGCAGAGTCGGGGCCATTTTGGTGGTCTTAAGTGCTTCTTTCATCCAATCTTCACATCAGCCCTGTGAAATAGACTGTCTTCACTTCACGAAGGGGAAAACTGAGGCACAGAAGGGACAGTTAAGAACAGGCTGAGATCGTACCTTGCAGTCTGCCCATTTCCACCGTGGAACCTGAACTTCCAGTGCTGCTGGAGGGTTCACACAGTGCCGGGCAGAGGTAGACACTCACAATGTCCCCCTCACTCAAGCTTTCTCCCACCCCCTACCCCGTCAGGCACTGCAACATGGTGCTGGAAAACGTGAAGGAGATGTGGACCGAGGTCCCCAAGAGCGGCAAGGGCAAGAAGAAGTCCAAGCCTGTCAACAAGGACCGCTACATCTCAAAGATGTTCCTGCGTGGGGACTCGGTCATCGTGGTGCTGCGGAACCCACTCATCGCCGGCAAGTAATGTGGAGCCCGCACCCTCTGAGAGCCTGCTTCCTGGCCCGCCGAGGCCTCAGAACCCTGACCAATGGGCTAGAAATAAAACCCTGTGCTTTTTGTTTTTTATGTTTTCCAGTGGTCTTTTCTGCCCTTGGGTCTTAGAGAGGGGAAGTGTGTCAGGCTGAGCACTAGGACAGGGCCCATGAGTGCCGAGGCATGTGACTGTCCATCTGCGAAGCGGACACTTTAGACTGAAAGGACCTGAACTTGACTTTTGTGTACTGTGGGTAGAGGGATTCTCTGACTGTGTGCAGGTGGGAAAGGGAGGCCTATTTAAGAGGATCATGAAAGGACCTTGCTTTGTTCTCTGGAGTGTGCACAGGGCCCTCCACCCTACCTACATCTCTGTCCATATGTATCTCTGTCCCTGCCCTCCCATGTAATTTCACACACACAATTTAGGAGATCATGGGGTGGAAGTCAGGAGTATCTACCCTCTTAAATACATATAAAGCACGTATGGGTGTTTTGCCTAGACGTGTCTGTTCTTGGTGCCCATAGTGGTCAGGAAAGGAGGGTTGGATTCCCCTAGAGGTACTTATATGTGGTTGTGAGCAGCCATGGGGGTGCTGGGAATGAAACCTGGGTCCTCTTCAAGAGCAGCCAGTGCTCTTGACTGCCAAGCTGTCTCCCAGCCCTTTATCTGTCCTCCTTTCTTCTTCACAAGACAGGGTTTCTCTGTATAATCCTGGCGCTGTCCTGGAACTTGATTTGTAGACCAGGCTGGCCTCAGATTCCCCCTGCCTCTGCCTCCTGAGTGCTGGGATTAAAGATGTGAGCCACCACCATCCAGCCCAGCTGTCCTGAACTGTGGAAGCCACAGCTAGTGTGAGCCTGTGTCCCCTGTCCAGAGCTGCAACACCTGCAGCCGAGAGCACTGCAGTGCTTGTTCAGTCAAGGCATGTGCTCCCTGCGCTGCCAGGAAGAACAGCTCTGCTGTGGACTGAAGCACTGAACCTAGGGCCTCATGCTTAGCAAGCTCTCCCTCGTGAGCTACATCCCCAGGCCTCTGTTCACTTGTATATGTGCACAAGGACAGCGTTAGGTGTCCTCTGACACTGCCCTTGATTCCCTTAAGACAGAGTGTTTTAACACCAGAACTAGGCTGGTGCGAGCAAACTCCAGCAATTCTGTCTCCGCCCCATGCTACACATTCAAACTCAGGGTCTCCTGCTCACACAGCAAATGCTCCTAACCACCGAGCTGCCTCCCCAGTTCTTCCGGTAGACAGGGAACCTCTTAGGAAGTTTCCCAGGCTGGCCTTGAGCTTGTAGTCTTCCTGCCATAGTCTTCCAAGCAGCTAGGATGACAGGCCTATGTCACCACAGCTATCCACCTCATTTAGTTGAAACCACTAATATTACTGACATGTCCCAAAGTCACCCAAGTAAAAAATAATGAAGCTACATCCAGATAGGTAGACAGGGCTAGTGAAATGGTTCAGTGGCTACCAAGTTTAATGCCTGGCACCTGTATCTGTCAATTCATATCTGCCTGTAACTACAGATATGGCTGCTCCAACACCCTGGCTTCCCTGGTACCTGCATACAAATACACATAGATTAAGTAGATCTGTGTACCAGGCCTAGTGGTGTATGCATTTGATCCAAGCACTCAAGAGGCAGAGGCAGGGAAATCTTTGTGAGGCCAGCCTAGTCTACAGAGCAAGTTCCAGAACAGCCAGGGTTATACAGAAACCCTGTCTCAAAAACATATAAAATGAAGCCAGACATGAGTGTACCCATAATCCCCACAATTTGAGAGGCTGAGGCAGAACTGCTACAAGTTCGTTCAAGGCTAGCCTGGGTCTACATGGTGAATTCCTGCCAGGCATACTGAGTTCATCTTGAAAAGACAAGACTCTATTGAAAGTACATTTGGAAAGGAGCTGGCTTGGGCGCTGCCTCTCTCTCCTTCCACTTGATGGGCACCCATGATGCCGGACCAGTAAGGTCGGGCACCTGACCACCCCTGCTGCTCAAGGCTCTGCTAAGGAGAAGCAGGCCAGGCAAGGAGGCAGCTCCACTCCCCACTTAACTCCCTCAGTCCGCACTGAGGACCTAGGATGGAGCCTCCTGACCCACAAAAGCTGCAGCCCTCCTTCTGCTTTCTGGGAAGGAAAAGAAAGGGAGGTGCTCTCTTGCGGGAAGTGGGCGATAGTGCCATGGAGGGAGACAGCTGCCGCTCTGTGTGGTGACCTGAGGAGCGGCAGTGGGAGCTAAATGTGGCTGCTGGGCCTTTACACCTTGTGTGCTCTTAACAACCAGGACTACACTGAGAGACGGTCTCAAAAAGCCCAAATAAATAAATGAAATTGTAAGCTGTGTAGCCAAGCTGGTGAGCAGTGTCAGTCCACTCAGCTGCCCGGAAGCCCACATATCTCACCCAGGAACAGGGCCTTGGGAGCCTTCAGGCCCCTGCCCTGTCACCCTGAGCACTCCTCACCACACATGGAAACTGCTTCCCTCTCTGAATGCCAAGGTTACAGTCCTGGGCACCTGGCTCTCTAAATGATGCTTTTATCTAGCTTTTTTTTTTCTTTCTTTTTTTCTTAATTGCATGTGACAGTGGTAGTATGTATGTGTGCATATGTGTATGCATGTTCACATGTGAATGGGTAAATGTGTACACGTTTGTATGGAGGCCCAGGGTCACATGGGAAGTCTTCTCGATAACTCTCCCCCTGTATGTGGATACTATGGTCCAAAGCTATGGTCCTAAGACTGTCGTGGCCAGCACTTTGCCCACTGAGCCATCTCCCCTGGCCCTTTCTGTTTTGATAGGGTGTTGTTATGTAGCCTAGGCTGGCCTCAGATTGGAACAACACTCCTGCCTCAGATTCTTGGATGATGGGAGTACAGGTGTATATCACCACTTCTTGAATAAATTATTTGGGGGGAAAGGATAGGATCTCACTTTAGCGCTAACTAGTCTGAAACTAGGCAAAGTAAATAAGGCTGGTTTTGAACATGCAACAGTCCTGCCTCTGCCTGAGATTGCTTTCAAAGAATCCTTTCCAGGGATAAAGCCAAAGTGGAGTTGGGAGTTTAGTGACAGCTAATACAGGAGCCCAATTAAGAATTGAATTAGGCTGGTTCCTGCTGCTTTTGCTGTTTATTTGAGAGAGGGTCTCACATAGTTCAGATAGCCAACCTGCATTCTGTCAGGATGAATGACCCTCAACTAATCCTCCTCCTGCCAAAGCCTCCCAAATGCTGGGGTTACAGTGCCACCCATTGCCTAGGTCTGGTATTTCTGTGTCGCCTTCCAGAAAAGCAGCATGTTCATAGGCATAACTTTAATTTGTACGTATGTCTCAAATAGTTTTCAATAAAGATTATGTTAGGGGAGGGTACAGTAGCAATGTGGTGTCCATGGTTTTTTTGTGCCAACATATGGTTCCAATTGAGCCCCATTCATCTACGGCAGACAGCCTTACATCCACCCTAGTCATCTCCCTAGCCTCTCCGACTCCCACCCCATAAAGAAGCTTGATTTACTAGGGTCTCCACTCCACCAGAAGCCAAAGCCTTGAAGTATGGAGTGTGGGTCAGCTATGAGACACATCTTTCTGGGAACCCTGGTGAAAATTCAGCATCCAGTACTAATAAAGGAGGCGTGTGTGTGTGTGTGTGTGTGTGTGTGTGTCTGTCTGTCTGTCTGCCTGTCTGTCTGCCTGTCTGTCTGTCTGTCTTCAGGTGGACCTGTCACAACGAGGCTGCATCCCCAACCCTCTCTGGGAGATAGAAGGATCTGGCTATCTCAGTGACCCCAGGCTCCTCTTGCTTGGCTGCCAGCTCTCACCTCTGACAGCTCCAGGTCCTGCTGCTCAGCTTCTCCCACAGCCTAGCACAGGCAGAGAGCCTCCTACCCCAGAGCCTTTTGATTGCTTTCCTTTGGTCATGGCAGTTTCCTTTGCTCCATTTCCTGGGATCCCTCAGCAAATCCTTAACACCTCTCTGTGGCCTTCATTCTGGTCCAGTCACCTACATTCCTCTCCCTGGTCTCCCAACTCACTGCCCCTAATAACTGGAACCGAGAGCCATGGAAAACAGCCCAGGAGACACCGCTATGAAGAATCTGTGTGGGGCTGGAGAGATGGAGTTCCATTCACTCCAACCTACATAGAGGCTGGCAACCATCCAGTCCCAGGAATCGTCTACCCTTCAGCCGTATACAAGCACTTCATGCATGTGATGTACGTCTGTACACACAGGCAAAACAATCGTACACAAAAAGGAAAAATAAAGTCTTCAGAGAGCCTGGGATAAAATTCCAGTTTCTGCACCCCTGCCCGCTTCTTCCCCATCTGCAGGCCCTGGCTTTTTCCAGTGGAGCTACAGAAGCCGTTCTCCATTCTTCCTGGTCCCAGGACCTTTTTGTATGCTGTCCCATCTGCCTGGAATCTTGTCCTCCAACTCTTCAAGCTGTCTCCACTTCTTTCAAATGTGACCCATTGATCTAAGTAAGCATCAGGTCTTCACGAGTGGCCTCCCAGTCGGTTGTGCTAGACACCTCAATTCTTTTCATAAACGATTCCTCAACAAATATATACACGTGGGGACCTTGTCTTCTGGTTCCTTCTCCATTTCCCCAGCATTCCCCCACACGGGGCCTGGTACGCAGTAGGCTTTCAACACATGCTAACTGTACACAGTAGGCTCTCAATACATGCTAACTGTACACAGGTCTCTTTACCTAGCAGTAACTTTCCAAGACCTCATCTCCAGGCACGGGCAGCATCCCAGAGGGCAAGGCGTTGCCGATGGCAGCTTCCCGGGGTGCAGAGTCCAAAGGCACGGCCCGGGGGGCGTGCTCCAGGTGCGGACGTGGACGCTGCTCCTGAAGGCTGAGACGCAGGCGGCGGTGGCGCCAGCCCTGGCGGATCTCCGACTGCACCTGCAACGCCGGGTGCTCAGGGTGGTGCTGTTCCCAGGGTGGCCGCCAGGGGGCACGGGCGGGCCAGCCTCTCCTACCTCTTTGTTGATGAAGCAGTAGAGCACGCTCACCAGGAAACCCTGCCAGAGAAAAAGCAAGATCAGATCGCTGCTGTGGACTCATTGTTTTCAGCCCCAAAGTACTGCGGCTGTTACTGCCCTGGTCCTAGGTACTGAGGACACCTGCTTACCGGCTCCCAGATCTCTGTAATGTTCCCCCGACCCCCAAAGTCTGAGAACAGGCGTTGGAAGTTGAACGTCCTGAGTGTAGAAAGCAATTCCCTGCTTTCCACATTTGAGGCAAGCAGTTTAACCACTCTGTGCCTCCCTTTCCTCGTCAGGAAAAATGAAGGCGGTGGTTGGAAGAACTGTAGTATTCATGTGTAAAACGATGTAGCACTTAGCTGTGTGTGGTGGCGCATTCCTTTAATTCCAGCAGTCTGGAGGCAGAGGGAGGCAGTTCTCTATGAAGTTGGAGTATACCCTTGTCCACATAGACTTCTATATCCATCCAGAACTGCATGGTGAGACTCAGGCTCAAAAATAATAATTAGGGCTGGAGAGATAGCTCAGGGGTTAAGAGCACTGGCCTCTCTTCCAGAGGTCCTGAGTTCAATTCTCAGCAACCACATGGTGGGATCTGATGCCCTCTGCTGGTGTGTCTGAAGACAACGACAGTGTACACATATTTAATCTTTTAAAATAACAATAATTAATTATGGGGCTTGAGGTTTTCTCAGTATTGGAGCACACGCTTAGCCAGCTGGAACGCGATTACAGGTATGAGCCCTAATGCCTGGCTTACGTTGATTAATGAAGCCAACTATGAACGTGGGCTATTATTAAGACATTCCTCGGATTTTCTACAACCCCGTTAATATCGAATTCGAATCCCACATCTCCCCTTCCAGGAGAGGAAAAAGACAAAATGAAGCTAGCCTTGGGGAACTGGCCCCTCTAGTTTGTTTTCCTGTTCCTGTTTGCTCGGCTCTCTCGCCTCTCGCCCCACTTGCTCTGGAGTTACAGGGACCCTCACCACCCTCCATCACACTAGCTAACCTCTGCCCTCAGGGATCTTCATTCTAGAACATTCCTCTAGTTGTGTGACTGGCTGTTTACGTAGGGTGTTCCCTCTGACTCTCACAGAGTAGGGGGCCTACCATCTGGCTCCTGGCTGTTGCTAGGTACACAGGTGCACCATCTGTTCTTGCTTCCTTTAATGAATGCACAGTCTCACAGGGGAGACTGGTGGTATCCCCACTTTAGAAAGAAGACTGAGGGCCGGGCAGTGGTGGCGCACGCCTTTAATCCCAGCACTTGGGAGGCAGAGGCAGGCGGATTTCTGAGTTCGAGGCCAGCCTGGTCTACAGAGTGAGTTCCAGGACAGCCAGGGCTACACAGAGAAACCCTGTCTCGAAAAACCAAAAAAAAAAAAAAAAAACAGAAAGAAGACTGAGGCTCAGTTGGATCCAGCAGAGTAGGGACTAGGATAGGCAAGCACATCAGCATCTGCCTCACATTTTGGAACTTCCTACATCCTTCAATTCTGCACCTTGGGGGTAAAGGAAACCAGGAAGCTGGCAAGTATCAGAAACTAAGTCCCAGCTCAGTCCACACCACAGCCCTTCCTCCTCACCCGGAGGCAATGCTGGGGAAGATTCTGTGGTCCTCCACCACCATCCCCACGCTCCACCCCTACCCGCATAACTCAGGACAGCCTTTAGGTATTTTCTGTCCTGTGCATGCATGATGAACGAATGAATGAAATCTCTGGGTACACTCCAGTCAATAGTGGCTGCTCCAGTGAATGATATCGCCACGTCCCGATGGAGAGAAAGGTCTAAGGTAGGAGGGTGGAGCCCCTGCACCCAGTCTCAGCACCTGGAAGGAACTTAGGAAGATTTCAAAGGCCAGTTTGGCGAAGCGCAGGGAGCCTTCAGCCTGTTCCTCCGTCACGGGCGCAAACACCACCTCGTGGACGCCCAGCAGGGGCACCAGTGTCAGCGTGGAGCGAGCCAGCCTGGGAAGAGACGGTGTCGGTGGTCCACACGTCCTCGCCCCTGACTCTGGCCCCACACTGCTTTCCACATTGGGTCCTCAGCCTGTCCTCACCTTAGTCGGTAGTCGGGGCAACGCATCTGCCGTGTCCTCAGCTTTGAAACAAGGACGCCAAGGATACGAATGAAGATGAGGAAATTGACCTGTGAGGAGAGAGAGACTGAGCCAGAAGCCATTCGGTTCTGGGGTGGGACAAGGGGTTGGCGCTCCTCTTCCCCAGAATGAGAAATCCCTGAGCACAACCTGGAGGAGGCGAGACTGGCCCTACCAAGATGGTTATTAGGATGGGAGTGCGAATGATCCACCAAACGGCTTTGACTTCGTTGCGCTCCCAGCACCTGGAGGAGGCAGGGCAGAACTGAGACGCGAAATGTCCCCACGAACCCCCAGTCACCCCTAATCAGGCAGGGTCCCTCACCAAGCCCTGCCCACCCTCTTTAAAGCCCACCTACATTCATTTAAGAACCACCCCCTCCGGCTTTCCAGAAAGCCTCCTAATTCTCCACCTTTCCCAACCCATAATCCCTTTATACCCCGCCCACATTCTCCGCACCCACGCTTTTCCACCCTTTCTCGCCCCTTGTCCCACGTAGTTCCACCCCCAGCCAGGGCCCCGCCCCCCCAAACCCTGCAACTCACTGCGTGTTCTCGTACAGGTACCTGACGATCACCCAGGGGATGACGAAAAGCGCGGGGGCCCCTGTGCAGACCCCGATCCCCGCCCCCCACCCCGCCGCAGCTGTCAGTGTGCACACGAGCCACTTCCAGGCCCAAGACCCGCGGAATTCTTCAGCAAGGGAGTGGGAGGGGAGGAAACGCGGATCGGCAGGGTAGTGGGGTAGCCGAGATGAGCTGGGCTGGGCAGAGGAGTGGGGTAGGGGGGCACAGAGTCAGGGCTCACCCCAGCCAAGAAGCAGGTAGCAGCGGAAGTGTCCCTTTTTTGAGCGTCCCACGATCACCAGCAGATGGTACAGATACACACCCTCCACCAGCAGCCAGGTGTAATTGGCTCCCACACAGTACTGGGTCATGATCTGGACGGTGCGGCAGGCAGCTAGGGCCTATGAAGCCATCAGACAAGGGTAGTCTCTGTTTTACTATTTGTATGTATTACTTTGTGTATGTGGTAGTAAGTCTTGAAACCAGGACTTCCGCTTGTAAAGCAGGGGCTCTACCACTGAGCTACGCCCCCAGCCCCTCACTGGGGGATTCTAGGCAGGGGCTCTACCACTGAGCCACGCCCCCAGCCCCTCACTGGGGATTCTAGGCACGGGCTCTACCACTGAGCCACACCCCCAGCCCCTCACTGGAGGATTCTAGGCGGGGCTCTACCACTGAGCCACGCCCCCAGCCCCTCACTGGGGGATTCTAGGCAGGGGCTCTACCACTGAGCCACGCCCCCAGCCCCTCACGGGGGGATTCTAGGCGGGGCTCTCCCACTGAGTAACATTCTATTTCTATTCTCTTTGAGTCAGGGGCTCAATAAATTGTCTAGGCGGTCCTTGAACGTGCTCTGTAGCCCAAGCAGGTTTTAATATGTCACCTGTGCTCAGCTTTCCACCTAGCTGGGACTATGGGACTTCCTGACCAGACAGGGCTTGTCTCCATCTCTTGCTCTCAGTTGTTTCACTCTGGCTTTCTAGCAAATGGCTTATCTTATCTCAACTTATCCACTTTCACTTGAAGACTCTCCCACGCTGACCCCTTAACAACTGCCATTTTCTATTGTTTCCACAGTGACATACCCTTAGAATCCCAGTATGTAGCCTTTGCCACACTAGCTCACTTTTTAAAAATATTTTATATTTTGTAGGTTTGTTTTTCGAGACAGGATTTCTCTGTGTAGCCCTGGCTGTCCTGGAATTCACTCTGTAGACCAGGCTGGCCTCGAACTCTCGAACTCAGAAATCCGCCTGCCTCTGCCTCCCAAGTGCTGGGATTACAGACGTGCACCACCATTGCCCGGCGGTTTGTTTTTCAAGACAGGGTTTCTCTGTGTAGCCCTGGCTGTCCTGGAACTCACTTTGTAGAACAGGCTGGCCTCGAACTCAGAGATCTGCCTGCCTCTGCCTCCCAACTGCTAGGATTAAAGACATATACTGGGCCAGAGAGATGGCTCAGAGGTTTAGAGCACTGGCTGTTCTTCCAGAGGTCCTGAGTTCAATTCCCAGCAACCACACGGTGGTTCAAAACCATCTGTAATGAGATCTGGTGCCTTCTTCTGGTGTGCAGACAAACATGGAGGCAGAATATTATCTATATAATCAATAAACAAATAAATCTTTTTTTTTTAAAAAAAAGCATGTATCATAATCGCTCTGCCACACTAGCTCTTAAGAGCAATTCCTGTGACTGACAGACTCAGCAGTTAAGAACACTGGCTGTCCCTGCAGAGGACCCAGCACGCACACGGCAGCTCACAATTGTCTGCAACTTCAGCTCTGATACCCTCTTTTGGCCTCTAAGGGAACTAGGCATGTACATGGTGCACATACATACATACATACATACAGGCAAACATACACACATGAAATAAAATTTTAAAAGAGTAAATGCCAGGCTATGTTCCCACAGGTGTGTGAAGGCCAGAGACCTTTTAGGAGTTCGCCAGCATGTGGGCTCTGGGGGTTGAACACAAATCCTCAGGCTTGTGGCCCATACCTTTAAGTACTGGGCCATCTTTTTTTCCCCCTCTATTTTATGTGTAGAGGCATTTTGCACGTCTGTGCATCACATGCAGGTCAGAAGAGAGCACCGGATCCCCTAGGACTGGAGTTACAGATGGTTGTAGCTGCTGTGTGGGTGCTGGGCATCAATCCAAGGTCCTCTGAGAGAGCAGCCAGTGCTCTTAACCACTGAGCCACCTCTCCAGCCCGGATGGCCTCTCAACCTTTCTTTTCATTTTTCCAGTACTGAACCAGGTACTCTATTACAGAACTCCACCTCCAAGACCCTCACCCCCCCCACACACACAATTATTATATAAAGCCCTCTGTTCACAGCCCCAAGTTTCATCTCCCTGCCTCAAGGAACGAACTAGCTCCTTCCAAATCTCTGCTGGTCTCTTCCTCTCATCCTGTTCCCACGCTCTCAGAGATGAGGAAAGGTATGGAAATCGATGGGAAACTCCTTGGTCCCACCAGGAAGGAGGAGATGGAGTACCTGGTTCCACAGCGCAGGGCTCTGGTCCCCAGTATAGGGATCCAGTGAAGGCAGCAGCTGGTCTCGCGTGAGGATGGCTGCTGCCCGCAGCACGAAAGACGTGAACAGGTTCATGTGAATGTAATTACGAGTGCAGTGCAGCCGCCTGGGGGATTTGAGAGACGAAATGGGCTGGGAGCTGTCCTCAGGCATCCAGAGACCCTTGAAGCAGCCCACCCTACCTCACCCCACCCCCATTTACCCCAGACTCACACCATCCCCTATCTTAGCTTTAGTATAAACCCAGGCCCCGTCTCCTCCACACCAAGCAGAGCTGGCGGCTCACACCTGAACAAACTTAAGATGAGCAGGGCGAGCAGCAGAGTGGCCAGGGACAGGGAGTAGCCCACTGTATACACAACCTGCAGGCGCTCCAAGATCAGCTTCTGGTCCTGGCGGAGACAAGGAAAGCAAGAGAAGACATGATTCTTTCAGCTGGTCCAGAGGAGGCACGGGGCAGCCCACCACCCCTCCCCTCACACTCCAGTCTCTTCTGAGAAAGAAGATGCCGCGCTGCAAGCTGCCTGTTTTCTCCTTGAAGCTCCGCTTGCACTTCCTTAAGTGGTGTTCACTCCACCCTTCATCTCTAAGGCTGGATGGGCACATTTACACACGCACGTGCGCGCACACACACACACGTGCACACACACATGCACGCACGCGAGCACACACACATGCACACACACACACACACGCACCAGACTTTTTTTTTTTTTTTTTGCTTTGTGGGTTTTTTTGGGGGGGGTTGGTTTTTCGAGGCAGGGTTTCTCTCTGTGTACCCCGGCTGTCCTGGAACTCACTCTGTAGACCAGACTAGCCTCGAACTCTCGAACTCAGAAATCCGCCTGCCTCTGCCTCCCAAGTGCTGGGATTAAAGGCGTGCGCCAACACTGCCCGACGCCTGAGTTGGATTTTAATTACTTACAACCCAGAGTTCTACTCAGTACAAGGGGTGTCAGGGTGGGCCTGAAACTCTTGAGGTCTTTTTTTTTTTTAAACTCTCCCCAGACATCCTAGCCTGAATCCCTCCCCACCGCTCACCTGAAAGGCCCCGTTCTTCTCTGGATTCTCACACTGAGTGTGGTCTCTCCAAGATTCCCACTGGCCATCGCTGCCACACTGGCGGAAGACGAAGCCTGCAGCCACTATAGGAGCATAAGGCGCAGGGATCAGGGGAAGAGGGCAGGTGTCCGAGGAAGAGGTGTAGCAGTACACCACTGTAATCTCGACATTTGGGAGGCCGAGACAGGATTGTCATGAGCTCAAGGCCAGCCTGGGCTCCCGCAACAGGTAGAGGCTCTGACAGCCAAGCCAAGAGACCCGAGTTTGATCCCCGAGACCCACATGTTGAAAGGATTTCCAACATGTGGAATTCTTTCCAACATGTGGAAAGGATTCTGTAAGTTGACCTCTGATCGCCGCGCCCCTGTCATAGCGAATTCATCCACACATACATGCAATACATAATAACAGAATAAGTAAAGCATGTGACAGAACCGAGGGAACACAGACATTGAGCGACACCTGGCTTATCAGACAGGGTCAGCAGGAGCTAGGTGAGGGTGGAGTCCGGGATGAGGGGTGCGGGGAGAGCCTCACCCTGACGGTACCAGGGCAGATACCAGGGGCAAGACACCTGGGCAGTGGTGTTGGCGGCCGTGTAGTACCAGCAGACATACATATCGAAGGAACCGTTACAAGCCAGGCCTAAGGAAGAGGACAACCGAGCCTGAGGCTGAAGGAGAGGGAAGGTCCGGCTTTTCATTCTTCTACACCTCCAGGTTGCACTATCTCCTTATTGGCCACAAGCTCCTCCTACCAGACCTCAAGACCCCACCCATTCATCATCCTAGTCCCACTCCAGGCTCCTCCTACCAAGTAAATCCCAAATCCTTATTATTATCTAAAAAGCTCAATTATTAAGCTCCACCCCCAAACCAGCCCACTGCAGCTCAGGTCCCGCCCAGGGCTCCTCCCTCCTCATCTGCTACCCTCCAGGATTCTTCTGTCTTCAGAATCCAACTCCGGTCCTCAAAGACTACTCGAGCCAAGCCCCACCCACATCTCCCAAGCCCTCTAGTCACACCTGAGGGAGGTTCTGTGGCCTCCAAGGTCTCTTGGCATTCCTGACTGTAGCGCTCCCAGCGCTGGTACAGGTCCCCCGTCGTCTGCCCCTCAGGGTCTGTCTAAGACAAGAAACAAGGGAGGACAGCCCCCTCCCCAGGGTAACCTCCCAGGCAGCAGACTGGGAAGGGCCAGAAGAACCCTTAGAGATTTGAAGGGGCTGTTCGGTTTTTTACACAGGAGTCCTGGGTGGCTTAGAAACCTCTTACATGGGATTGAGGTGCCTAGAAAACCGCCCAAAGAAAGGGGTAGCTTGTCCCCACCCGGAGGACTTGTGAGGGAAAAAGTGTGAAGACAAACTACCAGTTTATACAGGGCAGGGGGCGGGCAGCTTTAAAACTCTCCTTAATGTAGGGGAAGGCTTAAAACCATCCCAGTTCGCCTGTATCTCTCTGGGTCCTCACCTCCGCCCTCTGGAGTGGAAGTCCCCACAGCCACAGCAGCAGAAGCAGCAGCCGCAGGGGCATCCTTGAAAGATGATGGAAACTCTGGCCACTCGGAGGCAGGTGGGCTGGAGGGTCCCAAGGCAGAACCAACTCTTGGGCTTCAGCCCAAGTCAGTGCTCACCTGCCAGAAGCACATGGAGTCTGAGGCCATGCCCTCATTTCCTCACGTGAGGATTCGGGGCAGAGCAGGGCTAGGCGCGGCCTTTGATAAGTGAGGCTGGCATCAGCTAAGCGATTCCCAGGCCCTCCTAAGTGTTGCTGAGGCAGCCAAGGTAGAAGGGAGGGGTGTTTGCTGAGGGGCCTGTTACCCTAGAGCTGTGACGGACAGAAGCGTCAGTGTCACCGAGAGGCTAGACAGGAGAGACTCTTGGGAACCTGGAACCTCCTTAGAGAGGAGGGAATAGAAACCGCCAGTCAAGCCTTGAACCGATCATTTGAGTTCTCATCCTGCCAGCCCAGAGTTGTGGGGTTTTTGTTTGTTTGTTTGTTTTGTTTTTAATTTAGATAAGACCCCAATCTTCTAAAACTTCTCTGGCTTCAAGGAGTCAGAGGGACAGCGCTCTCCCAGCATCTAAATATTTAGGGACCAGAGAAATATTAGATCCTGGGTTTCTGACTTTCGGATATTAGATGCTCTGAAAATTTTTCTAACCCCAACCCAGACAATGTGAATGCAGGGTTTCAAGAGGGAATCTCAGAGCTACAGAAAAGAAAAGAAAGGAAAGGAAAGGAAAGGAAAGGAAAGGAAAGGAAAGGAAAGGAAAGGAAAGGAAAAGCAACTACAAAATTGAAAATCACAGACTCAAGTTATAAGGGATAAGAACAGAAAGACTCGGGGACAATGAGACACAAGCGGGAGAGCAGAGACTAAGGGGCAAAAAAAGAGATAAAGACGAAGATGTGATTCTGAGACAGAAGAAGTAAATGGAGAGAGACAGAGAACTGGAAAGAGTAGAAATAAGTCCATTTAAAGATGAAGCGAGGTGAAGAGATGACAGGGCAGAGAGGCAGAAAGAGACAAAGATAGAGACAGGGAGACAGAGTTAAGGGAGAGATAGGCCCAGGGCAGGGGCTTAATGGAGACCCCTTACCTGTACCGAGTCCTGCTCGCAATCTCCACTGACACAGCTGCTCAGCCTCGCCTGCCAGAGAGCTCTGCAAGAGGTGACAGGCGCTGGCAGCCTGGGGTGTTGGGAGGGGGCGGGGCCAGGGCGGAACAGAGAACAGGAGGGGGGAGCTCTGGGGAAGAGTGGGAACCGTGGAGCAGGCACGTTTATCACAGCCACTGTGTGTCACGTAGAGGAAGCAGCCACACAGTTATGGTCCCCCCTCCTCCTCCAGGCCACAGAACACACTATGCCATCCAGTCACTTACACAGCCTCTCACGCTGCCAAACGCCGAGCAGGAGTGAGACTCCGTGAGTCACAAGTTCATTCATAGCTGTACAACTGGGACCATGGTGAGAGAGCCAGTCTTTCACCCACAGCTTCCCGGTCACTCACAGGGACACACACGCGGCTGTGCCCAGGGATGTGGACACTTCGCCTACATGCAAACACAGCCCATAGTCCTAATACCTCTGTCTTTCTGTTGTCATTGTTTCAATTATGTGTATGTGTGTACATGTACATGTGTATGCGTGTAGGACCCGAGGACAAGCTCTGATGTGATTCTTGAGTGCTGTCTACTTCCTTTGATTTGGTCTTTCAAGACAAGATTTCTCTGTGTAGCCCTGGCTGCCCTTGAATTCACTGTATAAACCTGGCTGCCCTTGAATGCAGAGATGGACCTGCCTCTGACTTCCTGGCACTGGAATTACAAGCGCACGTTACCCAGCTTAACTTGCCGCATAACAAGGACTTTACCAAGTGAATCATTGCCCCAATCACTGACTTGCCTTTCTTTGTTTTAATTTTATGTGCGTGAATGGGTTTTTTTTTTTTGCATGCATTTTGAATGCCTGTGCACACATTCATGCAGTACCTGAGGAGGCCAGTAGAGGGCACTAGATTTCCCCTGGAACTGGAGTTACCCATGGTTGTGCGCCTCCGCATGAATGCTGAGAACTGAATCCTGGGTCCTCCTGAAGAGCTCTTAACTGTCATTTCTCCAGCCCTGTTTCGTTTGTGGTTTTTGTGTTGTTGTTGTTGTTGTTTTAACAAAACAGAGTCTCACTATATAACCGAGGTGCTCTCCAACCTTGTATCCTCCTGCCTCAGCTTTTCAAGTGCTGAGATTCAGATTTCAACCGCACAGGCACATGCAGTGAGCACCATCTGGCTCCGCATTTGGCAGCATTATCCATGGCGGACATACTCACGCTCGACAGCTGCAACTGGTCTGTGTCCCTCAGGAGGACTGCACATCCGGAGCAGGGCCTCAAGCAGTGAGTGTCCAGGACACAAATTGTGCCTGGCTTCGTGGTGATACAGTCCTCTCACAGTGTCAGGCGGCCACATCCAAAAACACTGTCCCTTGTGACATACATCAGTCTCCTGGAGTTTATACTGGGTCTAACAGCGTGCACTCCTCAGGCAGCACCAAGATGTATGCTCGCTTATTGTCACACCCAGTTTTATATGGAAAGACAACCTTACCGTTGTTCCGTCTACACTCACAAACCACAGACATTCCACATAGGTTCTAGGAATGGAATCTAGGTCTTCAGGCTTGATGGCAGGTGCCTTTAACTACTGAACTACCTTGTCAGCTAACGTCTCCATTTGGCCCAGGCTAGCCTTGAACTCATCATCCTGTTTTGATACTGGAATGGAACCCTGGTTCTTGTGCATGGTAGGCCAGCACTCTAACGGTGCACCACGCCCCCAGCCCCTCACTGGGGGATTCTAGGCAGGGGCTCTACCACTGAGCCACGCCCCCAGCCCCTCACTGGGGGATTCTAGGCAGAGGCTCTACCACTGAGCCACGCCCCCAGCCCCTCACTGGGGGATTCTAGGCAGGGGCTCTACCACTGAGCCACGCCACCAGCCCCTCACTGGGGGATTCTAGGCGGGGGCTCTACCACTGAGCCACGCCCCCAGCCCCCTCACTGAGGGATTCTAGGCAGGGGCTCTACCACTAAGCCACGCCCCCAGCCCCTCACTGGGGGATTCAAGGCGGGGGCTCTACCACTGAGCCACGCCCCCAGTCCCTCACTGGGGGATTCAAGGCGGGGGCTCTACCACTGAGCCACGCCCCCAGCCCCTCACTGGGGGATTCTAGGCATGGGCTCTACCACTAAGCCACGCCCCCAGTCCCTCACTGGGGGATTCTAGGCGGGGGCTCTACCACTGAGCCACGCCCCCAGCCCCTCACTGGGGGATTCTAGGCAGGGGCTCTACCGCTGAGCCACGCCCCCAGCCCCTCACTGGGGGATTCTAGGCGGGGGCTCTACCACTGAGCCATGCTCCCAGCCCCTCACTGGGGGACTCTCCTGCCTCACTTCCCGGAAGCTTAGCTTATACCTGGGGATCATTGCTCCCAGCTTAAGTGGTCCCATGTGTGACCCTTCCCGGCCCCACAGCTGGTCACACAGTCACCTGTCCACACATTGTGAACCACAGTGTCACACATTAGCATCCAGTCTTAAAATGGTCCCACGGTTACAGGAACCTACATATCACTCATATTTCTACAACCTCTACTTCCGGGATCTTCTTTCACCCCAGATGTAGGGAACAACGGTTCATGGAATGTAGGATGGGGAAATGCGGAGCCCAGTCTGGGAACCCAGTGTCTCCTGCTCAATACACATCGCCAGTACAGGCTGTTTGCTTGCTCCCGTGGGACCTGTGTGATAAGTGGGCCAGAGGCGAGCCTGCCCATTTTGCAGAGGACAAGCTGAGGCCCAGAGGCACCAGGAAGGGCAGGGAGTGGCCTGAGGTCCACATCAGAAGCAGGGAGCAGAGAGAATGGGGGGCGGGGTGAGGGTCCTTACCGCCTGGCCCCCGGGGACCTCTCTGCTCTCTGCTCCACATTCCTGGCGCCCTGTGGATCCTGGGAAAGTATCTGTCCCTGAAGTGGAGCTTGAAGGGGGTCTGAGATTGAAGAGCACCTCGTGGACAGCTGAGGCTGGATCCTGTTGCGCTTTGGGAGGCCATAGAGGTCACTGGACTGGAGAGGGAGGAAAGGGATGGACGGGGGTGGTAAGAGGGTAGGAAAAGAACTTGAGACCCAGAAACTTAAGAAGGGTAGAGAGGCCAGGCGATGGCAGTACACACCTTTGATCCCAGCACTCAGGAGGCAGAGGCAGGGGGATCTCTGTGAGTTTGAGGCCAACCTGGTCTACAGAGAGAATTCCAGAACAGCCAGGGCTACACAGAAACCTTGTCTTGAAAAAAAAAATAAATCACACACACACACACACAGAGAGAGAGAGAGAGACAGAGAGAGAGAGAGAGAGAGAGAGAGAGAGAGAAGAAAGAGATGGAGGAGGAGAAGGAGGAGGAGGAAGAGGAGGAGGAGGAGGAGGAGGAGGAGGAGGAGGAGGGAGAGGGAAAGAAGGGGAGAAGGAAGAGAAAAAGATGGAGGACAGACAGGGAAGAGTGAGTTCAGACTCAGGCCTTTCATCCCAACATTGGGAAAGGTTAAAGCAGGAAGATCCTGAGTTTGAGGCCAACCTCGGCTCCATAGTGAAACACAATTTCAGAGAGAGAGAATGAGAGAAAGGATGGGATGGAGGAGGGAGAGGGGAAAGTCGGGAAAGAGGAGGGGAGGGAGAGGAAGAGAAGGAGAAGGGGGAAGAGAGGAAGAGGTGAGAGAGGGTGTGAGTCCGAAGGATGGTCTTGAGAGGACAGGGATACAAGGCTCTGGCCCATCCATGGAATCTATAGAGCTCTAAGGGTTTCTAGGGGGCACCGAGGGAGCAGCAGAGCCCTTTTCTTCTGTGGTGAAGCCCGAGATCCCTCCAGTCATCCCTTACCCATGATCGTGTGAGCAACACAAAGGAAACTCACTGGATCACAAGAAAGAAACCCACAGCAACATGCAAGCAGACGGAGGAGGCCTCAAGAACGAACAGGAT